ATTGCCTGAAAGAGTGGTCGAGGCTGATCCGATAACTACGAGCTTGCATCGTCAAGCCTCGATGTAATGAATTCTTGGATGAGAATTTCGGCAGCCTGCGGTGTGAGAGTGTCGGAGCCGGGCGATGTTTTGGAGGTGGGGGAAGGCAGAGCGGGTCATGGCACAGAAAGGACAGTTGAGGGTCAAACAAGACGCCATGGTTCCGGACTGGCTTAGTAAGGTGGAGTAAGGGCTTGACTAGAACTGAGCAGTTTAAGGGGTGAACTGATAGTCTTCAAGGTTATGATGTATTCTGATAAATGTAGCAATAAGATTTTCACTGGTCAACAAGTCACCAATAACAAGCACAAATGCAAGCATGAAAAGAACTGGTGGATCACTCTTCTGGGGGTAATAATTCCTTCAAAAAAAAAATAATAAATTGGTCACTCAATCCATGACTGTTTGTGGGACACTGCTGTGTGCAATTGGCTGCCGTGTTTTACCCCCAAAATATATTCAGTTCACTTTACAGTATATTCTGTGAAGTCTTTGAGACGTCTCAAAGACGTGATAAGGCACTATATCAAATACTAGGATTATTATTTATTATTACTATAAGAGTATTGAAGCCATGATTATAACGATCAAAAGGAATAGGATACATATCTGAAGAGGAACAATATAAATGAGGAAAAATGGGGAATTTGGATTAGATTATCCTTCGCCCGGCTAACTACTGATCAGTCCTCACTCTTTCCACCCCACTAGAGTAAAACTTGCGTAAATCTGGATCATAACATTTAACATGACTTACTTGAAGTATGAGTTACAGGCAAACTTGTATAAGTCAGATTTTATACAACTAACACATAGCAGTAAATGAGTTTTCTGTGCTTGTTTCAATGGAGTACACTGTATTGTGTGTGCAGTTCTTCGTCACTGCAGTCAGTAAGTGCACATGCGGTGACGGTGACTCCTTTCCTGTGCTTGTTTCAAATGGAACACTGCGCAAAGCAGCCGGTAGATGCCGTAGTGGCGTTACGAGTTAGGAAATGATTTGCATAGGATTTAGTATTATTTGGGACTAACCAACCATGACGATGTAGACATTTTCCGGTTTATAAAATGCAACTTGTGCAAAGAAATCTAGGTGCGTTTTTATAGGAAACTGAATGGGACTTCGGTGCACCTATGATTTAGGCAATTACAGTAAAATTCACATAGGTCGTATCAGTTGGGACCATAACGTATCATATGACTTATGCAAAGTATGAGTTATGGCAAACTTGACTTGTGAGTTCAAAATCTTGATGTGGGCTTGAACCGTCAGGCTTCTGATTCAGAGGTGAAATTGCTACCTACTGTGCAGGTCTGACAATTGAAAGTTTTCCAGCAAATATGAAATGCACCATTGTTCCATAATGAACAAAAGCATCATTGTTCCGTAATGATATTAATAGATGAGTCTAATTCTGTAATCAAGTAACCTCAATGCTCAAACCCAAGATTCAAAAATCAGGAGACATAGAGGCTTTGGTATAAAGAATCATGAGATTTCTTTTAAATCTGGAAGCGTAGGAATAATCTGTAATCTATCACGGCTGTTCCATTCCAGTGTTGCCACATTTTGGCTTGTGACAGGATTTTGCCAATGACAGGATCCCCTTTTCCGTTAGTGACTTAAGTAAAGAAAAAAAATCTGCAAATTGTTTGACCCTTTATGGCAATAAATACAGTTTATTTACTGCAGGTATTTGAAAATATGAACATCTTTTCTTTGTCACTGATATTCCTTATTCTCTTTTATATTTTCAGCATCATGCACAAGAGGGGATGATAATAATAATCTTACTCCCAAGATCATTGCTCTTACAGATTAGGTTCTATTTATTTCCCTACATCTTTCTTTATCGTTTTTTATAATCTTACTATTTTGAATCCATTTTTAGTCTCTTTCCCACACAGGCAAAGATTAGGTTCATGTGTGGGAGGAGCATGGCTCCAGGGTGCATGAACACAGAAGTGCACAAGAGAAATGCTGCCAATATAGCGTTTCACAAAAATATCAAAAAGTGGCCTACTCCTGCTCCTACATCTTATGGCCTAAATATTATACATGGCTCCCCTTCTCCCAGAAAGTGCGAAATCATTCAGCGGTAACCAATACTGCTGCTGATTTTATTTATATATGTGGTTTTATCACAGAATCATAGGATCATAGAATTATACAGCACAGAAGGAGACCATTCGGCCCATCATGTCTGTGCCAGCTCTTTGAAAAGAGCTATCCAATTTAATCCCACTCCCCCGCTCTCATAGAATCATAGAATATGTACTCTGAATGAGGGCTGTAGCATAGTGCATATCATCCTGAAATGGAACAGGCTCCCTCAGGAGACATTGGAAACAGAAAATGTTGTTTGTTTCAAGAGCAAATTAGATAGATTTCTGCTAGAGAATAATATCTCAGGATAGTTTGGGACACGACATGTCAAGCAACTGCCAGGATGGTGAAAGGCAAACTAGATGGACCCTGATCTTTCACCTAGCAAATTCTTAAGTTCTTAACTTCTTAAATACAAACCAATTGTGAGATGGGAATTAGACCAGTTGGCACAACATCTGTTGTGAGGAAAGTACTAAAGAGCCTCAGACAGGATGGTATCAATGTACGTCTAAAATGTGTACAGGCCATAAAGTGTACTAAGCATGGATTTAGAAGCAGCAGGTCATGCCTTGCTAATCTGTTGGAATGTGTTGAGCAAGTTACTGTATTAAATTAGTGGAGGAATGCTGTTCAGTTGTCATAATTGACTTGCATTTTTCAGAGCTCCTACGTTTGAAGCTTTTAAAAGGTTAAGACTCATGAAAGTAATGGCACGTTGACTGGCTAAATTGCAAACTGACTTAGAATAGGAAGCAGAGGTGATGAATGGAAGACTGTGCAGGGGCGGTGACTAGCTAAGAGGAGTTCTTTTGGAATCTACTCATTGCTCATGCTACTTGTAAAATACACTGCAGTACGGTGTTATAAAATTTGCTGATTTTTGACTGCTTATATGAAGATATGAAGAACTGGAAGATGAACTGATAATGTAAAGAAACAATAAAGCTGAACTTTGTACATAATAATAATAAATATTATACTTGCATTTGATCCTTTGCTTACGGTCACCTCCTTCCCCCCCCACCCCCTCCACTGCTCGGAGTCAGCCTCCGCCACTGTTATGTGCTCTGAGACACTACCCTGCGTGGAGAATGCTATATAAGTGCATGTTGCTGTTGATATAGCGCTATTATCACGTCTCCGAGTCATCTCAAAGCGCTTCACAGAATATACTGTAAAGTTAATTGTATATTTTGTGGGCAAAACGCGGCAGCCAATTGTGCACAGCAGTATCCCACAAACAGTCGTGGATTGAATGACCAATTTATTATTCATTATAAAGTTGTCCCTTAGCAAAGATGGAAAAGAAATCAACTCCAGCCATTGACCATTCAGTACATTTTCACTCAGTATAAAGCTTTTATCAAGATCATTTGATCAAAAGACAAGTCTCGTTCCATGTTTTGTATATTTCATTGCAACCACATTTGATTGACATTAATTGCTCTATTCAAAGAGCCGGCACAAACTCGATGGGCCGAATGGCCTCTTTTTGTGCTGTACGTTTCTATGATTCAATGTAATATGTACGTATTTTCTACCCTACATTGATGCAAGGAGATGGATCCATTGGCAATGATTTGGGGAATTATGTCTTTATTATGAAGAGACACTCGCTGAGTTAAACTTTTGTTTACTTTGGAGAAGAGAAAACATATTGAAAGGGAGCATGAGTCGATCCTTGAACTGCTGATAAGCACAGATAAATAAGGATATAAATGGGTTATTTAAACTTTGATTGTGAGGATAGAACTAGAAGGCACAATATAAAATTAATTGTCTGGTTTTATTTCAGATTCATGTATTTCTTTTTATCTTTACATAATGAACACGCCTCAAGCAAAATTTGAGTTCAGAAGACATTATTCAGAGTGTTGGATATGCAGAGAGCTGACTCTCTCTCCCCCACCCCCCAACATACACTGAATTAATACTGTTTTAATTTTTGTTCTATAAAAACCTTAGCAGAGGATTTCATATTATAAGGGTAAATATAGAAAGAGATGATTGAATGTTCTAAGGAACACTTTGGTTTCTTTTTTGCTGGAATTAAAACCGTTATCAATGGAAAGCAACTGGTCTAGGTTGAATAATACAGATTTAGGATTGATGACTTATTCTGGACTTACTTGATTACCTTTTGTTGTTGGAAATTTTTCGCACCAAACTTTCGGGAAATTATATGGTTTGATCGATGACCAGGGTGGATCAACAACAAACAACAACTTGGATTTATATAGCGCCCTCCACGCTGGACGGCGTCTCAAAGTGCTTTACAGTAATGGATCCCGGGACCGATCCAGGGGAAGGGGGGGAAGGTGACCAAAGGTGCGGTCGAAAAGAAAGCTTTTCAGCAGAGACCTGAAAATGGGAAGGGAGGGAGCGAGACGAAGGGAGTGAGGAAGGCCGTTCCAGAGCCTCGGGGCCTAGTGGCTGAAAGCACGGCTGCCGAAGGTGGAGCAGGGGACGAGGAGGAGGCCAGACCCAGAGGACCGAAGGCAACGGGTACTGTTTTGAGGAGAGAGGATGCAGAAGTAATGAAGTCATTGGGTTGAATGGCCTTTCTCAGTTTATGCATTCTTTCAAGGACCGTTTTACAGAGTGGCTGCAAGTAAATGCAAATTTATTGAAAGCTATTTTAAGTTGAGGTATATAAGATGGATTTTTACTTTTTAGCTTGTCATGTAGTGTCTCTTGTCCAGATGTTTGCAACAAAATAGTATTCTTTCGTTACTCGTTTTGCAGCTCGAAAGAATGTTTAAAATTGCAATAGACTGAATATAGGTACTATACTAAGTGATAATATCTAAAAAAAAAATCCATTATTTAGTGCATTTTGTTTGTTTTTCAGTTGGGGAATGGCGGTTAACGTATATTCTACATCTGTGACCAGTGAGAACATGAGCCGGCATGACATCATGGCTTGGATTAATGACACGGTGTGTTTAAACTATTCAAAGATTGAACAGCTTTGTTCAGGTAAGAATAGCCAACAGTGAATTCTTTAAAGTGATCGTCTGAATTTCCCATGAATAATAACAAACCTAATTTACTTTGTGTCACAACATTTTACAGTACATTCTGTGAAGTGCACCGAGACCCTACCACGTGTGAAGGATGACGCTATGTAAATGCAAGTTGTTGTGATAAAACGCTACATGAAATATTATTACATGGCATTCAATAATTGTTTGATTTTTCAGTGAGTGAAATGGCCCTTGTGTAATTGTGTGATAATGTACTTTTCCTTTTATGTAGTATACATAATAAAAGAGAGAAGGCTGAACTATTGAGTGGGGAAGTTGTGAAGGAAGTGAATTGGAGATGAATTTGAGTCTTTGGATAGATGTTTAGGTGTCTCATAGTGGCAGCCCATGCCTTGTGTGTCAGTCTGGCTCAGTGGTAGCCCCACATCTGAGTCAGAATATTGTGGTTTCGAGCCCTATGTAGAATCTAAGATGATACACCAATGCACTGCTGGTGTTGTGTTGCACGGTCGGACATCCCAGCTTCATATAAGACTTTAAGCTAAGGTCCTCTCTGCCTGTTCAGGTAGATGTTAAAGATCCCATGGCGCTATTGGAAAAGAGAACAGAGTTTCTTCCAGTGTCCTAGCAAACAGTCCCTCAAATAAAATTGGCCATGGCTGTTTATGGAACATTGCTGCCACTTTTCGAATCCACTTTACAGTATATCCTGTGAAACATCTCAATGTCTGAGTGAGGGGCAACCATCATTTGGGTGTTTATGCAATAAACTGTTATGAAACTAAAATAATAAATGACCTTTACAACCTTACTCTAGAATGTTTACTTTCATTTTTAAGATGACATTATTAGTTTTTCTATTATACAAACAGAAGTGGAAACTTTACTGCCAACTTCACTTTGCGGCAGATTTGATGTAATCTTTTGCTTCTACAACTTGGTGCTTAAATTAGGCTTAAATTAGGATAGATACAATTTGTGGCTACACCAGTTGGTAATTGATTCAGCCTCCTAAATCAGCTCCAGCCTGCCATTTAGGGAGACAGCCATTTTCGTTGTAATTGATATGGCAACAATGGACATCTTAGAATCCAAAAGGATAGCATATCTAACCTTGGAAGCAGTCCTACTATAGTGGATCTTTTAGAACACAACAGATTAATTGTTATTACGTCAATATCCAATTGATGGATTGTTATCGGAACTTTGAGAGGTCAATATGTTACTGGGTGCATTTTTTTTTCGAGGATTGCGTTAGTGAATTGGGTGTCTAATTAATGATTAGGCAGTGAAAAGTTTGTCAACATATTTTAGACAAGATGTTTAAGTTTAGCTGGTTGAATTCTAGAGGTGTCCTATTGTCCTAAATCCTGATCTCGGGATAGGCAAGCCTTTGTGCCTGTCCATTTCTTCTCTTTTCTCTCTTCTGGGAGAAATTGTGGAATCCATACATTTATTCTCAGTTAGTTGAATTTGAAAGCCTCAAAGTCGACAAAAAGTTTTGTAATGTGTCAATACTTATGGCCGACAAAAAAAAAACCTTAATTTGTTCATTCGGCAGATGCAAACTGACCCTTGGAAGCAAAGGAAATCCTGCTACCATTATCCAAAAGGGAGTTCACGTTTGTAAGACTCAGTAGGATACAAACAAATGAAGTCATATTATTCACTCAGTGTAATTTCTCTTAACCTGTTCATTAATACCAATGATCAAAGTGCCTTAGGATAGCCTCAGATAAGAACGGTGCTATAGAAATATGGTTTGTATTTTGCCAATAATTAAAGGACTGTAGTTTAATGTGTTGCTGGTTAGGGAACCCCCCTCCTAGTATCCAGAATTTGAACTCAGACCTAAAACCTAAAAAATTGTTTTTAATTCTGCGAGCACACATGTGGACTCGCGCCAGCCCAACTCTCCTAGCATGTGTTAACACCGTAATGAGCAGCCTCACCATCTTTGCCGGCCTTCACAGTGTCCAGGAATATTGACTTTGACACAGATTGTTTGAATCCCGTGAGCAGGAAATAGCTTATTCACTACCTTCTGCTCGCAGGATTCAAACTTTTTTTAAAAATGCCGGCGAATGCTGATTCCTTGCATTTGATATAGCGCCTTATCACGTCTTCTTCACAGAATATACTCTAAAGTGAATTGACTGTATATTGTGTGGGCAAAACGTGGCAGACAATTGCACACAGCAGTGTCCCACAAACTGTCGTGGATTGAAGTGACCAATTATTTTTTTTTGAAGGAATTATTACTCCCGGAAAAGTGATCCGCCAATTGACTAGCAACTGGGTTCCTGTTTACTGCTAGTAAACAGGGGTGTGTGGAGTAAGGAAACTTGCCCAATGTTTTGCCCTGCCAGGAATCAAACCCACGTCCTTTCGGGTGCGAGGCGAGTGCTCTAACCACTAAGTTATATGACTCTTATAATGGCAATACAATGCTGAAAAATAGATTTATTAATTCATTTATCCATTTCTGAATCCAAGGGTTTCTTTATCGTAACTTCCCAAAATTGGTGAGCCAACAAACATGTTCAGAAATCCTGGAAGAAACTGCTAGGTCCTTCATGGTTTTGCTAACATATATTGAAATAAATCTATTAGTTCCAAGCATAGGACGATGTAGTACACAATAAAGTATTTTAAAATGATCTTCTCTGAGTCAGCTGGCTGGATACCTTTAATATAGGGCCCTGAAGCTACTTAAGGAATGCTTTGCACTGATAAGTTGTTCTGCTTCATATGTTTTGTTAATTTGTTTTGTTTACGTATGTTACTAAATATTTAGCTATACTATTGATCACAAATTATCTGATCAGTTTTGAAAATGCACATTGCCTATTTCCCGAATTTATCTGATCACTACTTTTCCACATATCTGCAGTAAATTGAAATATTGTACAATGTTGATTATCAAGTTCAGAATACAAGATAAGCTGTATGGCAAGATTACGTTTGAGAAGATGACATTGACTTGTTGCATCTTCAATTTCTGGAGATCAATGAATACATTTTTATGAACTTTAATCTACAAAGTGTCTAAGTATATTAATCTTATGTACAATTACAAAATTACAATGTCAGCTGCCAACATAAAATGTGAAGGTCATTTGTTTCAGTCATGTCTTTCTGAGTTGGTGGGAAAAAAAGCGCAATAGTAACTCTTGGATAACTTTGTTGCACCTTTGCTCACTCTGTAGATTCCTTTCTCTCCTTCCCCTTCGTGAAATTGCTATGATTGATTGCCCGACTCTGTTAAGTCAGTAGTTTGGATCCATCAAACCAAACCAAACCCCACGTTATATTGAAGTACACAAAAATGGCTGCTATCAGCACTTTCCAGATTGTCAGGTTGTTGCTGATGTGATTTCCTGCACTCCATACAGGAAGCCAGCAACCATCGTTTTCTAGAGGTGGTTTTGATGCCACTAAAGACACTGGGGAATTGTTCAAGGCTTGCTGACTTCACTTTGCAGCAGATTTGATGGTGACAAAATTAGGGTAGATATAATCTGTGGCTTCACTAGTTAACAATTGATTCAGCCACCAAGGCCTGCTTTTTCCAGCCTGGTACTTAGGGAGACAACCACTGACATGGCAATAAAGGACATTTTGGAATCTAAAAGCACTTCGAACCTTGGAAGTGGACCTTTTATAACATAACTTTTTGTCACACTCATGACAAACATCAACTCATTATTATTTTCTGACATGGTGGGTTACAGATCTGCAGGTATTGGCATACTTCCAAGTATGTCTGGTCTGGTATCCAAATCTTTTGCTGGAGGTGTGAACTCTTAAATAGCTTACTCATTTCTGGGAGATTTGTAATCCAGGATCTCGGGGCTGGCCCTATCTTCTCCAGCCACGGTACTGGAAAATATGAGTTCATCAACCATCCGTTTTCAGTTGATAAATAATCCTTGCATTTGATATAGTGCCTTTCACGTTGGCAAAATGCCCAGAAGCCCAACACAGGATTTACTGTGAAACAAAGTGACTGTGTATTTGTGGGCCAACGCAAATGTAGTCGTGTGAAAAGATTTTAATTTGTTTAGGTTGTGAGACATTTGGGTTTTTGTTCTTTCATTTATTTGCGCATTAAGCAATCTATAATTTCAACATTTTATATTTCTTCCTTATTCCTTTCTTGATTTAATTAGTGTTAAGGCACAATTCTGTGATTGTTTGAACCTTCATCAGCTAAATTAAGAATAGAAATGTGGCGTTAGTCTGGCTCAGTTGGTAACGCTCTCATCTTTGAGTTCCGAGTTCAGGCGCCATATTGGGATTTTGAGTTCATGGTCTACACTGACACTCCAATTCAGTACTTGGGTGTGCACTGCTTTGTCAGATGTGCTATGATTTGGATCAGACACGGGACCCAATTTTCTGTTCTTGTAAATGGTAACGATCCCATAGCACTGTTCAAATATAGTAGGAAATTTCTCAAAGTGTCCTGACCAACAATCCCCAGAGAGAAAACAAAATGGTCATTCACTTCATGGCTGTTTGGATATTTCTATATGCTGCCTATTCCTACAAATACACAGTCACTAACTTTACAGAAACAAATTTTGTGAAGCTCTTTAAGATGTTTTGGCATAATGCACTCTATCAAGTGCAAAGGATAATTTTATTATTAATTTTAAATGAGTGTTTGTGGGCTTTTTTCCCCCACCCGCTTTCTATTTCACAAATTCGATACTGAAGTGAACGAACTAAATTCTTCATTGACAAATGTTTATCTTTTTAATGGTGCTTTTTGTTGCATATGGTCCACTTTGTTTTATCTTTGGGTGTAATTTTTCTCTTTCTTTATAATTGATTTAGTCGTTGTCCTCCCAATTACCGATAGGATCGATTTCAAGATCCTCTCACTCATTTTCAAATCCCTTCATGCCCTCGCACCTCCTTTCTATCTGAATTGCTTACCCCCACACCCCACCACCCGCTACTCCGTTCGGCTGGCTCCGTCCTCCTGATTGTCTCTCGTCCCCTACGCTCCACCATTGGTGGCCGTGCCTTCAAGCATTACGCCCTGAAGCTAGGAACTCTTCCTCTCAATCCCTCTGCCTTGCCCCATTTTATGTCGACAAGGTGCCACGTAAAAGGCTGCTACACAAGATTAGGGCACATGGGAATTAAAGGCAATATATTAGCATGGATCAAAGAGCAGCTAACGGGAAAAAAACAGAGAGTAGGTATAAACGGGTCCTTCTCAGATTGGCAAGATGTGACTAGTGGAGTGCCACAAGGATCAGTGCTTGGGCCTCAACTATTTACAATCTATATCAATGATCTATACGAGGACATAGCACTTAAAATATCTAAATTTGCGGGTGATACTAAGCTAGATGGGAGAGTAAGCTCTGAGGATGACACAAAAAGATTGCAAAGGGATACAGATAGGCTAGATGAATGGGCAAGAAGGTGGCAGATGGAATATAATGTGGGGAAGTGTGAAGTTCCAACCTTTCCAACCTACTATCCCCCTAACCTGCCCGTTCCCTCCGTTTCTCTGGCTCCGGCCTGCTCCACATCCCCCGCCCTGACCGCCCTACCATTGGTGGCCGGGTCTTCAGCCTCTCAGCCCCTAGGCTCTGGAACTCCATCCCCCAGTGCTTTCGCCTTGCCTCCTCCCTTTCCTCCTTCAAGGCCGGTCTCAAGACCTTTCTCTTCGACTGTGCCTTCAGCTCCCCTCTCGACTCCCTACCCCCTCCTCGCTCCCTCCCTCCCCTCACCCTGACCATGTCCCCCCTGCTCGGGTCCCGACCCAACTGTCCAGCGCCTTGGGACGTCCTCCCGACGTGAAAGGCGCTGTATAAATGAAATCTTGTTGTTGTTGTTGTTATTCACCTAGGTAGTAAAAACAGAAAAACAGATTATTTTCTAGAACAACAACAACTTGGATTTATATAGCGCCCCCACCCTGGACGGCATCTCAGAGCGCTTCACCGTAACGGATCCCGGTGCCGAGCCAGGGGGAGGGGGAGGAAGGTGACCAAAGGCGCGGAGAAAGGAAAGGTCTTCAGCAGAGACTAAAAATAGGAAGAGAGGGGGTGAGGCGAAGGGAGTGAGGAAGGGAGTTCCAGATCCTCAGGGCATAGTGGCTGAAGGCATGGCCACCAAGGGTGGAGCAGAGGACTCGGGGGACAAGGAGGAGGCCAGACCCGGAGGAACAAAAGCAACAGGCACTGTTTTGAGGAGAGAGGAGGTCAGAGAGATAGGGGGCTGCAGAGGAGTGGAGGGATTTGAAGACAAGGGTGAGGATCTTGAAGTCGATCCTCTCTGGGACAGGCAACCAGTGCAGCCTGGAAAGGACTGGGGTAATCGGGGAGCGGAGTTTGGTGCGGGTGTGAATGCGGGCAGCAGAGTTTTGAATAATCTGGATTTTATGGATGGTAGTGGAGGGGAGGCCGGCGAGGAGGGCGTTTGAATAGTCCAGCCGAGAGGTGACAAAGGCATGGACCAGGGTTTCAGCGGCTTTTGGAGAGAGGTATTGGCGGAGATGGGCGATGCGTTGGATGTGGAAGAAAGCGGTGCTGGTGAGGGACCGGATATGGGGATGGAAGGATAATTGGGGGTCGAACCTGGTTGCGTATGGGTTCGGAGAGTTTTAGGGGGGAGGTCAGGCAGGTGGAGGAGGTGAGAACTGTGTGATTTTAGACATTGACGAGAGCCAAAGAGTATGGCTTCCGTCTTGTCAACGTTCAGCTGAAGGAAATTTGCGCTCATCCAACCCCTGAGGTCTGACAGGCAGGCTGACAGAACATCAGGGGACTGGGGGTCGCAAAGAGAGGTGGAAAAATAGAGTTGGGTGTCGTCCGCATGCATGTGGAAACGTACCCCATGTCTGCGGATGACATCTCCAAGAGGGAACCTGTAGATCAGAAAGAGGAGGGGGCCAAGGATGGATCCTTGGGGTACCCCACAGGTAACCAGGTGAGAGCGAGAGGAGAAGCCATTTGTGCAGATGTACTGCTGGCGGTTTGTGAGGTAGGACTCGAACCAGGCGAGTGCGATCCCACCGAGGTGGATGACGGAGGAAAGGCGGTGGAGGAGGATGGCATGATCGACTGTGTCGAATAGGAAAGGGAGAGACTAGATAATGTCAGTGTTCAGAGGGATTTGGGTGTCCTTGTACACCAGTCACAAAATGTTAGTATGCAGGTACAGCAAGCAACCAGGAAGGCTAATGGCATGTAGGCGTTTATTGCAAAAGAGTTAGAATACAAGAGTAGGGAAGTCTTGCTGCAACTGTATAGGGCCTCGGTGAGACTGCACCTAGAATATTGTGTGCAGTTTTGGTCTCCTTATTTAAGAAAGGACATATTCGCCTTAGGGGGGGTACAGCGTAGATTCACTAGGTTAGTTCCTGGGATGAGGGGGTTGAAACCTATGAGGATAGGTTGGGTAAACTAGGCCTATATTCTCTAGAATATAGAAAAATTAGGGGTGATCTTATAGAAACATATAAGATTCTTATGGGGCTTGACAGAGTAGACAGTGTGAGACTATTTCCCCTGGTAGGAGAATCTTGAACTAGGGGTCACAGTCTTTAAGGGACAGCTCTTTTGAACTGAGTTGAGGAAACACTTCTTCACTCAGAGGGTAGTGAATTTATGGAATTCTCTACCCCAGAAGGTTGTAGATGCTCAGTCCTTGAACATATTCAAGACTGAGATTGATAGGTTTCTAAAGATAGAGGGATTAAGGGTTATGGGGATAAGGCGGGCAAGTGGAGTTAGGTTAGAAGATCAGCCATGATCGGGGCAGACTCGAGGGGCCGAATGGCCTACTACTGCTCCTAATTCCTATGTCCCTATGTTTCCTCCTCCCCACTTTCAAATTCTGCCTAAAGACCTTCCTGTTTGATCATGCTTACAGTCAGCCGCCCCCTCCCTCTTCCCCCTGACTTAGTGTCAGACTCTGCCACTGTCAAGCGCTCCAGTAATGCTACCCTGCGTGAAGGGCACTTATATATACGATTGTTGTTATTTTGACCAGAAAATAAGATTACAGTCTACCTTTGGAAGATGTTGTTTGTCTAGAAACGTAATATAAATTAAATACTGTACTTAAATGCATGTCCATTGTGTATGTTTACCATTTCTATCAATTATATATTGAAACAGTGATGGCCTCTGTATAAATGCAAGTTGTTGTTGAAACTACTTTCTATATAATTTTGTGATTCTAAAATTGTACTTATATCTCAGATAACTAGAATGATAGCATGACGAATACTACTTATATTTGATTAGTTATATCTTATATTTAACACTTGCTGTTAATTTTGTTGATTGTCTATATATTAACTTTCTAAATTTGACTCCTTCTAGGGTTTCTGTTTATCTTTGCCCAAACACTTTGAGGGTAGTTTAATTTAGTTTAAAAACGTCAATGTACAGTCAAGACTTTTTAATATCATTGTCTGATGGACTTTTTAAATGGCGCATATTGTTTATTTCTTCTTCTTTTTCAGGTGCAGCTTACTGCCAGTTTATGCATATGTTGTTCCCAGCCTGCATTAGTTTGAAGAAAGTAAAATTCCAGGCTAAGTTGGAACATGAGTACATTCACAATTTCAAGCTGCTACAGGCATCTTTTAAAAGAATGAATGTTGATAAAGTAAGTATTGGTTGAAACCTCCAAGATTTATAGATAAATTGATAACAATCTTAGAAAACTGGTTGAATTTCCATTATTTATTGCAGCCTACTGTAAGCTCCGTCTCAAGATGAACCTCTTTGACCATGCTTTTAATCGTCTTTCTCCTCCCCAACCCCTTTGGTTTCCACCCTTAGCTTGGGTGCCACCAGCAGTTCAAGCACTTTGAGCCATCCTCCTGATATGAAAGGCACAATATATTGTATATGAATATTTGGTTGTATTTGGGAATGTATGTAAATAAAGTACGTCAATTCCTGATTAAACTCAGGTGACTGAATGACGTTTCTTGATGTTACGGGAGGACATCTCAAAGTGCTTGACACTACTGGTGGCATCCAACATTTTTGCGACACTTCAGAGCTCTTAAGCCGACTCAGGATGCTCATTATGTGAGATGTAAAATGATTACACTGATTGTAGAAATAATGTTGAATACGTATTAATTACTCTAGCAATAAGCAATCTTTTGGCTACATTTCATAGTCTTTCAGGTTAATAGTATTAAGTAAGAACACAGTTTATGTATCCTGACATGTTGTTAACTTCATTGAGTGAGGATGATATGGGGTAGGGAAGAACTGAATGTGAGGAAAATGCTAAATTTTACTACAATGTGGTGGTGCAATATTGGATGTTTTAGTTCTATGTTTTTGTGTGAAAGAATCTTATGTTTGTATAACACCAGGATTTGAATTTCAATATTGATTCTGGGGTGTAGAATTGTATTTAAATAAAAAAAAGCTTGGAGTGTGTTAACTGTGATCCCATGCTTCCTAACCAAATTATGTCTGCAATATTGGAGATTCACACCAAATATATTTAAGTAGCTTCACAAATTCAGCATGGAGACCGTTTATTGATCTGACAAGTTGCATTGGAACTGTTCTTTCTCCGGTTAAAAACATCCACATGGGTTACTTCAAACAGGATTAGCAGCAGCTGGTACAGCATTCCAACAAGGAAAATGCTTTTTGGAAGCATTATTATTCATCATTCATAGCACAAAGACTCCATTCTAACATTTGTTGAGAGGGATTCCCCAATGGGTTCAGTAATTTTCATAAATAGGTGAGCCAGTAACTCTTGAACGCTAGTCTGCACCAAGCTTGCTAATTACAGTCAGGGCAGTAGTATGGTATCACAGTTTCCTTCTTTGCTCTGAGATTGGTTGGTGAAAATCAGACAGAGTTCCTGTTCCTGATTGTTATCCAAGTACTCTTGCTGGAAAGTGTGCATGTGTTACTGTCTGAAGCCAGGATCAGGCTTGGCTGTGATGTCTCTCACTCTCATTGTCAAGACTGACATGTGAATCATGAGCACTTGGTCAATACACTTGAGCGGTCCTATGGAACTTTACTCCAGTAGAAGGGGGTAAAAAGAGTCATATGAAGGGAAAAATTGGCAGAAAATAAATTGATAATGAGAGATTGGAGGAAAAAATGGATTCTTCTGGCCACTTAATATCCTTTGGATTGAATTTATTTAGTAAGTGCTGACTACATTTATTCAGAAGGAGAAATTCAAGATTGATACTGGCTTACAGTTCATCCAAGCAGAAGATTATCAAGTTCCAGATGCCCTAAAGGTTGTGCAATTCTATTTTGGGATAAGGGAATCTTACACATTCAACATCAATAGAGTGAATGTCCAGTATGAAATACTGTATCACTATTCACTTCTACTCCCCAGAGTTGTGAAATGTAGCAGTAGCTTACTTGCCTGTACAGTTAAGATTGATATGATTGGCCGGCGAGGGAGGCTTGAAAAAGTTGAGGTTCTGTTAAAGTGCTTGAGAATTTATTGTCCGAGACAAATCCTAGATCTCTACGATGCAGGTGTTGACTTTCAAAGGTGTCATATAACAATGAAGCAGACAGTTTGTCTACCACAAGTCATCTTAGCTTACGATCTGGAGTAAGCTTGAAGAAGCAAAATCAAGTATTACAAATGGATACTGCATCATAAATAGACCCACCAGTTAGAGGTAGTGAATGCTGCTTAACAGATGGCTACACAGAGATAGGCTCTGTTCAGGAAGAAGAAGCTAGTGGTGTTCTGTTCCACATTCTGAGATATCGGGGCAGTAGAGGATCATCTCATAAAGGAGGTTCCTGAACCCTTTTCTCTTTCCCTACAGAGAATGAACTGTTTATATGTTTTGAGGAGAAAGAGCTGATGTTATTCTTGTTATCCTGTCCTGATTGTCTGAACTTCAGGCTCTCAGTGGCAAGTTCATCAGAATCCTTTAAAGACCTCACCTAGATTAATTATTTTCCCTTCCTGTGATCAACCATAGTCTATTTCTTAGCAAACCTTCAATTATAACAATCAATCAAATTCAATTATAACAATTCAGTCACTACCTATGAATCCAGATGGTAACTCACAGTATGTCAGAAAACTTGTAGGGGACCTTTACGATCTATTGCCAGAGATTGCGTGAGAATCCCAAGAGTTGTCTATTAAATACTACAAATTACTGGCAGGATTTCCCATTTGGGCAGGATTCTCCATAAATCAATTAAACTGCTGTTATAAAATGAAGCAGTGAATTTCGGCTTGCTTTTCAATCTCACTGTTCAATTTCTCCTTCAGAAATGTGCTTAGCTAAGTATATACAGCAGAACCCCATTATAAAGCGGTAGTTGGGCTTGGCCTGCTCCAAGAGGCCTTCAGCCTCTTCCCCCACCCTTTGGAACTCCATTTCACAGTCTCTTTGCCTTGCTCCCTCCCTTGCCTCCTTCAAGGCATGGCTCAAGACCCTCTTTGTTCCCGCCTTTGGTCACCTTCCTGCCCCTACCTTCCCTGCCCTCCACCCCTTCTGATTCCAACCTCCTGCTCGGGTCAAAGTCTCTATCGAGCAGCTTGGGACATCCTCCCGACATGAAAGGTGCTATACAAATGTAATTTGTTGTTTTTGTAAAATTCCAACGCGACGTAAGAGGGTGCAATCGAGAGCAGATGCTGGTCAACTCATACACTTAGAAAGTTGGCTGGTTTCATGCACAAAAAACCTCAACTTGAGCATCATCAGATCGCCTCTGTTATACCCCAGTGCTTTAGGTCCATAAAATCAGACCTTGCATTAATGGGTCCAGGACAAAATGAGCACTGGTTTAGCTTCCATGTTGTCAGGTTGCTGCTGGCATTGCTTCTGGCGCAGACTGGATAGCACTGGTCAGGCACAGCCAGTCTTGCAAGTGTCTCTCCCACTAGAGATGGGGGCACGGGGAGGAGGAAGGGTGCAAAATTTGTGAAGTGCAGCAGGCAAGGCTTGAATAGTGACGCTTGATGAATATTATTGAGTTTTTGCTTACTTTCTGTTTGACAATGAAGGATTATGTAAAAATCTTGACTTTTGCCCAAAGGATATAATGAGTGAGTGGGTGGGTGAAGTCAGGGTATTCCGTACAAGGTCTGTAGAAAGAGCAGATGAGATTGGTTGAATATATTTCCTCATTCCATAAATTGTTACTTCCACTTTGTAATGTTCATTTTTAATTTTTTGAAAAGTAGATGTGCATATTTTTCATATCAGCAAGAATAGCCTAGACAAATGTTCTTTTTGCAAACTCCGACCTTCCTCCTTTGGATTTTTATTGAATTTTTACTCTGCATTGTTTCTGCTCAATGGCTAATGTATCATAGCACTGTTTTTGAGGTACCAAAAGTGTGGGTTTAGTTTTGAAGTTGTTTTTAAAAAATGAATAGAATAGTGTATATGCACACTGCATGTGTATTGGCGCAAGCCAATGCACCGTGGACCATTCAATCCTCCTCCACCGCCTCTCCTCCCACCTCAACCTTCAAGGTTCTGTCCTTGACTAATCCAGGTCCTACCTTTCACACCGTCTCCACTTCATCTCACCAAACGGCTTCTCCTCCAGCCCCCACAGCATCTTGTGCGGTGTTCCTCAGGGCTCTGTCCTTGGTCCTCTCCTCTTCACTCTCTGCATGCTCCCCTGAGGTGACATCATCTGCAGACATGGGGTAAATTTCCACATGTATGTGGATGACACTCAACTCTACCTCTCTGCCTCCACCCTGAACTATAATAATAATAATAATAATCCTTGCATTTGATATAGCGCTTTTCACGTCAGGAGGACGTCCCAAAGCGCTTCACAGAACACACTGTAAAGTGAATTGACTGTATATTTGTGGGCGAACGCGGCAGCCAATTGCGCACAGCAATGTCCCACAAACAGTCGTGGATTGAAAATGACCAATTTATTATTGTTTTGGACTACTGAGGTCCTGACCGACTGCCTGTCTGACATCAAGTCCAGGACGAGGGACAACTTTCTCCAACTCAACATCAGCAAGACCAAGGCACTCCTGATTGGCTCGTGCCAGCGCCTCCGCACCTCGGTCGCTGGCAGCATCAGCATCCACAGCTGCACACTCAACCTCACTAAGCCAGTTAGGAAACTGGTGTCTTGTTTGACGCTGAACTGTCCTTTCTCCCCCACGTCCGTGCCATGATCAGCACTGCCTACCACCACCTCCGCAACATTGCCAGACTTCACCACTGCCTCACCCCTCAGGCTGCTGAAACCCTTCTCCATGCATTCGTCACATCAAGGCTTGATTACGGAAACTCTCCTCATCGGCCTTGCCCCCTCCTACCTCTCGGACCTGCTGATTCCCTACAAACCTGCCTGCTCCCTCCGTTCAGTGGGGTCTGGTCTGCTCCATGTCTCCCGCCCGACTGGCACTACCATCGGTGGCCAGGCTTTCAGCCTCTCTGCCCCCACACTCTGGAACTCTATCCCACGATCCCTTCACCTCGCTTGCTCCGTGTCTCCTTCAAGGCCGGTCTCAAGATCCTTCTCTTCGATCGTGTCTTTGGTCTCCCTCCCACCTCTCTGCCTTCCCTCACCCCTACACAACTCCTCCCTCATGCTCGGGCCCCGACACCTGACTGTTCAGCGCTTTGGGACGTCCTCTTGACGTGAAAGGCGCTCTATAAATGTAATTTTGTTGTTGTTGTATGCTGGATATCCACAGCAGATTGATCAGCATTCAAAAGAAAACTAGGTTGAGTCTGCAATCATTCACCTCTTAGTAAAAGATTCTGTTTGATCAGGATTCACTGCTGCATAGATTTTCAAAGTTATGCTTTTTCTGATTTGTTGTCTCTTACTGCGCAGTTGAGTAAATTCTTTTCTACAAGATACTGACTAATATACTACTTTGTTGGCAGTCTCCCTCTTTTGACCCGAAAATGGGACTGAGATCAACAGTCACATTTATAATATAATCAGATTGACCCAAACACACCTCGCCTCTTTTATGTGGCTTCATCAGAATATAAATCTCTATACTGTACTATTTATAATATTCAGTAACTTGTGATTGTTTTTAGAAATGATTTTTATGTCAGCAACTGACACTGCTTTTTTTGTGTTCTGCAGGTTATTCCAGTAGAAAGATTAGTGAAAGGTCGCTTCCAGGATAACTTAGAATTCATTCAGTGGTTCAAAAAGTTCTTTGATGCAAACTATGATGGCAAAGAATACGATCCCGTGCTTTCTCGACAAGGTCAGGATGCTATTCCGCCACCCAATCCTGGAGAACAGATTTTCAATTTACCGAAGAAGCCAGCAAGTTCTCCAAGTGCAGGTAATCTGCTGGAAATCAATGTCAGATCGTAAATTTGTAACTGTAGAGTTTGGGCACAAAAACACACGTAAAGTGTTTACAGTCAACTAGACTAGCTATAGATGCCACAATGCGCTTGACTGTGAGCATCCACAGTTGTTAATCTTCTACTCAGGATGTCTTGCACAAAGTCCTGCATCAAATGCAAGAATTTTTATTGTATTTTATACTCATTTGTGATCCACTCTGCTGCCTCCCGAGAGGATGCTGGCCTTTACTCATGTATCACAAATGTCTAGCCCTTCAGTTTTCATGTAGACTGCTCGGATACTGCATAACAGGCATTACTGCATTACATTGCTTTAGGCTCATTGCTCTTTTAACTGATGCAACTCTCTCCTTGAATCACATCTTCCAAAAGCACCTAGCTTTTATTATGTGCCTTCATCAGGATGATAGATCTCAATTCTGTACTATTTATAAATTTCATTAACTTGTGATTGTGTTTAGAACTGATCTAAGAAATGCTATTTTGACTTGAAATTACTTTTCTAACCAAGCTCACTAACTATGCATGACAGACTTGACAAGTATGCTTGCAAGATAATTCTGGGCAGGTGAATGTTAGGATTATAGCAGGTTTCACTCAGCTGGGTGTATTGAAAGAGCGGTATGATTTCTAAACTGTCTCATGATGTGTCAGTGAGGAATCAGGACAGTCTGACACAAATGGTGGTGGTCAGTTGTAGTCAGTAAGATTCAGCTAAAAGTCCAGTCATTTTCCTACAAATCATTAAATCATTAAATCATTATCTGCAAGCAGCAAAAGATTTCCAACAGGTTCTGTCTTGGGCAGCATCTCTGAAATGAGCCCTGAGATACAGATTTGACCTGGCACTCTGTAGCACCATCTGTTGGCATCATGCTTAGTCAGTTCACTCCTCAATGTAATGAATTTCGTTTGGATGAGTAGTGAATGATTTAAGGCAATTGTAACTATCTTTCACCACAGGATTATCTGGCATTATATAATCCATGGACTCCCTTGTAGTGTTTTATTCATTTCTGTGGTGAATATAAATGTATTGGTCCATTCCTCTCCAGAAACACTTTGATACCATAACACAGTGGACCACCATAGCAGGTCGGTGAGACGTTGAGTGATTGGAGATAGGCTTAGTTCATGAATTAATGGGTCATGCGTACAAGCGCAAAACTTGGATTGCCTGGGTTTGTGTTTTGGGGTTCCACAACCTCTCTATGCTTTGCTCTCACTCATTGTTGCTACCCCTTTCAGACACTAGCACCTCCCTGGTACTATAATAATAATCCTTGCATTTGATATAGCGCTTTTCACGTCGGGAGGACGTCCCAAAGCACTACTAGTCTCTCAGGTAGAGTGCTCTGTAGTCTCTGTGGGCCTATTCCTCAGCACCTCAGCCTGACTGTGTGGCTAGATTGCATGCTCCTGTTGCTTCCCTGATCTTGCAACCCACACACTTCCTTCATCCTATCTCGGGGAAAGAAGCTGATCAAAGGCTCAGTTAACAGCTTTTATACACACTCTGCTCCTTCTCAGCTACAGTGCAAAGCCCATTTGGGGTGACCTCATTGTTTTAGCAGGCGTGTGTCTGTGACGACATAGTCATATATCTTTACTACAAGAAAGGTAGAATTACTTTTCTTTATTGGATAGTAATTTTTTTGGAACTGAAATTTATCTCTTCTTCCCCAGAATCTAGTTTTCAGCAAGTCAGGGATCCTTGCATGTCCTGTTAAATTAGGTATTCCTAAACTACAGACCCTTTAGCACATGGTTGGTAAAGTGTCTATAATAACATTTGAAATAGGTAAACACTTGGAGATGGAGAATAAATAAGCAGTCAATATGGATTTCTAAAGGTCATGCTTGATCAACCTTATTAATTTATTTGAAGTAACTTGATTGTATGTACTCCACTCATTTCAATCTTTAGGTGAACATTCTGCACATTCTCCCTACCTCTTCTCCCACTCTACACAGTCTAGCAAAATCTGATTCTTTACAGAAGTTTATTTTTACTTATGTTTTAAATAATGTTACAAAGAAACATTTATTCATTCACTAAGATAAAAGGTCAACAAGCTGTGAATTTATGAAAAGCACAAATGTTGTTACCTAAATTTCATTTGAGGTTATTTCCTGTACATATGACAAATACTTCTGAAAAAAGATGAAGACCGAATGTACATTCAAGAGTAAAATTGGTTTCCCAAGTCTCTTACATTAGAATACGTTAGAATGTACAGCACAGAAACAGGCCATTCGGCCCATCTGGTCTATGTAGGTGTTTATGCTCTACATGAGCCTCCTCCTGCCCTTCCTCAACCAAGCTTTTAAGCATAACCTTCTATTCATTTTTCCCTCATGTACCTATCTAGCTTCCCCTTAAATACATCTGTGCTATTTGCCTGAACAACTCCTTGTGGTAGCATGTTCCACATTCCCACTACTCTGTGTGAACAAATTTCTTCTAACTTCCCTGTTTGATCTGTTTGTGACTATTTTATATTGATGGCCCCTGGTTTTGGTCTCCCCCACATCTTCCCTCTGTCTACCCTGTCAAAATCTTTCATAATTTTAAAGACTTCTATCAGGTCACCCCTTACCCTCCTGTTTTCAAGAGACACCTCCTTGTTTAATTCATATAGACACCGAGGCTGCATTTGTATATTTCAGTTTGGAAAAATTTAAGTACCAGTCAAACCTGTTCAAGCACAATCTCCATGGAGCAGCCCACATAGCCCAATACATACACCAACAAACCCTTACTCAGAGGCCATCCTTATATGAAGGCCACTTTGGCCCAGTCCCCTGAGAGGTTGTTGAAGACGGGTTTGACTGCACTCTTTAAAAAATGTTTGTTCTCTAATGGATAGAACAGCTAAGTTTTAATTCCCAATCAAAATGACCCTTCTCTTCGACCATGCCTTTCGTCACCCTTCTTCCCTCCCCCCCCCACAACCCGCCCGTACCGGCCGCTAGCTCGGGTCTGAAACACTGATTGTCCAATGCCTTGGGACGCACTTCCAACGTGAAAGGCACTATACAAATCCAATACCTGAGAACTGAATGACTATGTAACAAACTACTTCATCTTAGATATATTGTGTGACTTAGACAATTGGCTAGCAAAATATTTCACAAATAAGTGCCAGGAGTATAGTCCAGGTTTGGGTATTAAAATTCTTTGTAATACTAAATGATGTTATTCTTAAGTGTAACCAAGTGGTTTCATTTACTTATATCCAAATGTTAGGTGCTGCTGCTCCAAAAAGCACTCCATCTCCTAAACCAGGGTCAACACCATCGAGACCATCTTCAGCTCAAGCTAGAAAAGCACCAGGATCAAAAAATGCTGGTGATGGAGAAACACATGTTGCACAGTTGAATGAACAGGTATGTAAGTGGTAGTATGTCTGAGCATTCTGATAATTTTATTTGTTAAAAGCTGGTATGAGTATTTTCAGAAGTAGAATCCTAATAAATTCTAATTAGTTTGTGAAGAAATGTTTTTTGCTTTCCCCATATTGCAAGGATAACCTGTTCCCATGTCTGCCGTATAAACTACAGATAAAATCCTACTCTTTCTTTTTACCTACATTTTTGAGTAGATCAGTTTTGTTATGTTTTTGCATTAATTGTATCACTTTTGATCTCAGAAGCCTATTGAATATTGATTCTATAAATGGCGAGGATTTATTTTCTGAAATTAATTTGCCCAAACACTTATTTATGCTTTAATTTGTATCCGTTTGACTTTGTTGGAGTAATAATAATAATCACACACCTATCAGTTAGAAAGCATTAATCAGGCAAGCATGATTACCTTTTTTTTAAAGAAAAGATTGTACATTAGATTTAATATTATGATAAAGCTCTTCTGATGGTTGAATAGCTTTATTAGTGTAATATCTCAGTGTTCGAGCTAAATGTGTATAAAACCGAGCTGTTTATAGAACTAGGGAATATTTGGACCAACAGGCTTACATTGAAATGAATGTCATGAATCAAAATGTTGTGAAATGAGTTTTCCCATTTGCAGATTAATAATTCTTGTAATTTAAATGTATACAGTCTATTTTGCTCTAAATCTCTTTTTTCCATCCTATGGGCAGGTGAGTTCACTAAAACTTGCACTTGAAGGAGTTGAGAAGGAAAGGGACTTCTACTTTGGGAAACTGAGAGAAATTGAACTCATCTGCCAAGAGCACGGACAGGAGAATATGGACCTTGTCCAGCGACTCACAGATGTGTTATACGCTACAGACGTACGTAAAGTTTTCAAACAAGAAATTATTTGCACATAATGGTGAAATAGTGCATTCAGTAATGAACCTTTTTTCTGAACTGCAGGAAGGATTTGTAGTGCCAGAGGAAGGTCATGTACAAGGTGATGAACAGACTCAGGAACCAGAAGAATACTGATAAGCCAATGTGAGCATTTTCTTCACTGACTGAGGGCTTCAAGGAACAAGTTTCTTCAGTTTGAACATTAGTATTTTATCTTCCATACTCAGCAGCAGCAAAATACTGTATTCTTTATCCATTATCTTACCACCATGCATTTGCAGCTATTGTTTTCTGTACATAAACTGTGATATTTTTGGGGGTTAACTTAACATTGTGCAGTATTGCTTATATTTTAGGCAAATATGTTTGACAACTCTGGTTTCAAAGTACAGTGTCCACCTATGAAAGTCATTTAAGGAAGTGGTGAGCAAATATGCAGTATTATAGCATCACAATTGCCATGTATATTTTCCATGAAGCCTGCTATGTAGAGAACAGCCCATTATAGTTCCATTCTACCCTATACCTGTACTGGCAAAGGGTGTCAGCCTATTTATATTTGAACACACAATTGAAGGAATGGATTCTTAATTCTGTGTAAAAAAAAAAAAAAAAAGTCTTATTCAGCTGTAACTTACTTGTTTTTGAAATTATCCACAGTTTGTCGCATGATAGAGTAGATTTGTTTAAATATGTGAATTTTGAGTTATTTTATCTTTCTACTTATTTAATATTAAATTGGTTGTGTGTTTATAGTTATGGTTTGTGTATAAAGGTCTTCATAAGAAATCTTCTAATGTAGTGCCCACATTTATAGCCATACTCACTTGGGAACTGAACTATTCAGAGCACCTTGAATGGAATGCTCTGGCATTTAGATAGAAAGTCAGTGAGGAGAACCCAAGCTAATATTTTGCATGCTGTTTAGAAGCGACATGGTAGTTAAAGTCCTGAATTTGAAATCCAGTCTTCACCAACATTTGCACTTCAGCTTTCCGTTGGAGCAAGATTTGCACGTTTTCGGTTGGTTAATTCCAAGGAGGGCAAATGGGAGATGAGATCTTTTCTGTGCCAGTCATGCCTGACTTGCAGCGAGTCTGTCCACATATTGCGATCATTAAGTCAGTGGAAGTAAATATAGAACTTCCTGTTTGAAGAGGATGGTGTTGAATGATTGGGAGGGAGAGAAAAATGGAAGAGCATTAAAAAAAAATATTTTGCATGTCGAAGAAAACAACAAGGGGTGCTCTATTGGTTGTGGAAGAGGAATTGTTTCTAACAGCCATTCGTAGTAAAACTTGTTCTATATGTGCATCTTGTACTCCTGTTTTGTCTGAATTTAATACAGAGATGTGTAAGAAAATATATGTAAGCTTTCACCATGAGTTTGTTTTCATGTTTGTTCTTCCTCTTGTTTATTTCTTCTCATCCTCAAGATGCATCCTTTATAATTTTAAAAAAGTAAGCAGTAATAGTCAATGAAATGTCACCACATTTCTTTTAACATTTTAATTGTATTCTATTCTGCTTTTGGCTTTTTATCACAGTTACAGAATTAGGTATTGCGCTAAACTATACAATGTGGTCAATTACCTTCACTTCTCAGGTTTTTTTTCCACTAAGGTACACAGTTTTGTTGAGATTTAAATGATCTAAATAATCCCTTGGAGCAGGATTTACATGTTTTAGGCTGGTTAATTCAAGGAAGGATGGGAAATAGGAGATGTATTTTCTGTGACAATCATGCCTGACTTGCAGTGAGTCAGTCAACACGTGGCAATCAGTAAGTCCATGGAAGTAAATATGGATCTTACGTAAGAATTATCTTCAAAAAGACAAGTTTGATTTTAGTGACATTCCCAAGTCATGGACTTATCAGCAGGTAATGCTTGTTCAATCTACACCTCTTCGTCCCGTCTAATCTCCTCCCTTTTTTAAAAAAAAAAATTCCAGCCTGGGCAATATACAGAGTGACCAAAAATGTGTGATACCATTACAATGTCTAATAAGTCTTAAACAAATTATGATTTTTTTGACAATAGGTTAGTTATCATGACTTTTTGGTCACCCTGTACATGTTGTAATAGACTGACATCTGTGTCGGGTATTTGGTACGGATTGCTGCATCATATTGAATTATTACTTTGAAAGTTTTGCGTTTGTGATGTAAATGATTCTGTTGTAAATTATGTTCTCCAGCTACCGTCAAATCGTAATTTGCTAAAAAAAACGAATGTAATTCATTCACCAGTAAGTTTGGAAGGACAGTTTGCACAGTAGTCAGGAGCCATTGTTCAGATTCCTAAAACATTACATTTAGTATAACTTATTAGATATTGCTGGTACAATGTAGGTGCCATTTTGCCTGCATAACATTCACTTAATTTCCAGTTAATCTCTTTTTGTAAAACATTTTCTTTTCTGTGAAAGGAATTGCAGAAAGCAAGTTGGTGCTGTTCAATGGAAAAAAAGACATGTCACTGATATATTTTTGTATATTCAAATTTACGTGCGGTTTCATTGGATTAATTTAGGTAATGTATTGGACATTTCAATCCAATATGGACACCATTTGAAAGACGTCTAGAATTGTTTAGTATTTTAGTTGCACTGTTTTGGTACTAAGACACACAATTCACGGTATTTTAAAACTTGCCCATTGTAACTCCCAAATAAATTGTTTTAGATGTTTCAGATCTGTATTTTAACCAAATTACCTTTTTTAATGATAACACTTGCGTGTTTTTTTTAAAAAAAAACTTCATCTTTTACCTTACCTTCTCTGAAGTGAATATATACTGAAAATAATGTTGAAAAAAACATTTTCTGCTGTGCATTTAGTGACTACTATATAAAGGAGATTTGGGTCCACTATTTTCCAGACCTGAATTTTAAATGTTTGCACAATGACCTGAAGAATATGAGCATCTGACATCCTATGATTCTTAAAGTTTTCTATGCTCCAAACTTCTATGGTTGTGTTGCCTATCAAGGGAGAGAGAGATGGGAGTTCAGTATCTACTCCAATTGTGCTGACAGCGATTGATGCAACATTTTAGGTGTTTACAAAGTCTTAGTTTGCTTTGGTGGCACACCAGGTTAATGATCCCAGAGCTGCACCAAGGAATGGCTGGATACATATTTATGTTTGTGTTTCCTCAAATAGAAAATTCTCAAACCATGCTATCAGCCAAGGTATCCCAGCAGAATTAAGGCATAGTTTCCAAAGAGCAGAGAAAATTAGATGAGTTTTAGCACACCTCCTATTGACTCAATCAGCATTGGTTGAAGCCTTCAAGTAGGTCAACTGCATCAAGCGAAAATGGTAAATGACAAAGGGAAGAAAGATTCTGAGGAGAATTTATTTAAATAACAAGGTTATCAGGTGTTACATTCTGTGCAAGGAGTGAAAATGATTAAAAGTGAAGTTTGTGGAATTGATTGGATCAGTCTAGTTAAGGATTGATTGGATGATGATTGGACCATCTGATAACAATCCATCTACTTAAGCCTGATTTTGTGTTCAGTTTATGGGTACAGATCAGAGATTTGAGCGTTCTCTAAATGAGGACCTGAAGGTTCAGTGGACAATGGGGTCGAACAGTATAAAGAACTATGGTTTCCTGCAAGGTTGGAAGATGGTTAGTATTTTGTGTTGAATTATGGTATTAGAGACACTCACTTTTAACCCTTTTCACGCCTTATAACAAGGTATCACCAAACCATCCTGATGCAAGGTCCCTGTTCTAATTCGCTAAGTTTGAAGAGATCGTGTCTTTGGAGCTGAATAGCTTTTGATACCAGTGTTAATAGGGTTGCTATACTGAAAGGATGTGATCACATCAGTACTGAATGAGTACTTTGCATCTATCTTTACAAAAGAAGAGGATGCAGCCAATGCCACAGTATCGGAAGAGAAGGTAGAAAAATTGGATAGGATAAGAATAAACAGAGGAGGTGCTAAAAAGGTTGACGGTGCTCAAGGTAGATAAGTCATCCAGTCTGGACAGAAGATATCCTAGATTACTGAGGGAAGTAAGGGTGGAAATAGCGGAGGCTCTGGCCACAATCTTTCAATCCTCCTTGTACACTGGTATGGTGCCAGAGGACTGGAGGGATGCAAATGTTACTCCCATGTACAAAAAGGGGCAGAAGGATAAAGCTGGGAACTACAGGCCAGTTAGCCTAACATCAGTAGTGGGGAAACTTCTTGAGACTAATCCAGTACAAAATAAATTTTCACTTAGAAAAATATGGGTTAATAAAGGACAGCCAACACGGATTTGTTAAATGCAAGTCGTGTCTAACAAACCAGATCAAAAAGAGTTTTTTGATGAAGTAATGGAGAGGGTGGATGAAGGTAGTGCAGTTGATGTAGTTTATATGGATCTTCAAAAGGTGTTTGATAACGTGCCACATAAGAGACTTGTAAGCAAAATAGAAACCCACAGTATTAAAGGACAGTGGCAGCATGGAGAGAACTGGCTGGGAGTCAGAAAGCAGAGAGTGGTGAACAGTTGTTCTTCTGACTGGAGTGAAGTGTGCAGTGGTGTCCCCCAGGGATCGGTGTTGGGACCACTGCTGTTTTTGATCTATATAAATGACCTGGACTTGGGTGTAGGGAGTACAATTTCCAAGTTTGCAGATGATACTAAGCTCGGAAAAGTAGTAAACGGTGAGGAGGATAATAGCAGACTGAAAGAGGACATAGACAGACTGGTAAAATGGACAGACATGTGGCAGATGAAGTTTAATGTGGAGAAATGCGAAGCGATGCATTTTGGGAGGAAGAATGAGGAAAGGCAATATAAGCTGATGGTACAATCTTAAAGGGGGTGAAGGAACAAAGGGACCTGGGGGTTCATATAAGTAAATCTTTGAAGGTGGCAGGACAGATAGATAAAGCTGTTAAAAAGCATACGGGATACTAGGCTTTATAAATAGGGGCATAGAATACAAATGTCAGGAGGTTATGATGAACCTTTATAAAACACTGGTTAGGCCTCAGCTGGAGACTGTGTTCAGTTCTGGGCACCACACTTCAGGAAGGATGTCAAGGCATTGGAGAGGGTGCAAAGGAGATTTACCAGGATGGTACCAGGACTGAGGGACTTCAGTTACCAGGAGAGGCTGGAGAAGCGAGGGTTATTCTCCTTGGAGCAGAGAAGGTTAAGAGGAGACTTAATAGGAGTTTTCAAAATTATGAGGGGATTCAATAGGGTGAACAAGGAGAAACTGAAAGGGTGGTGGAAGCTGATTCGATAACAACTTTTAAGAGAGAAGTAGATAATTATTTAGGGAGTACAAGTTTGCAGGGCTATGGGGAGAGAGTGGGGGAGTGGGATTGATTTTCAAACAAGCGGCACAGACATGATGGGCCAGATGGCCTCCTGTGCTGTATAATTCTATGATTCGGATTTCATTCAAACCTCGCCTGTGTGATGTTCAAAATACTGTTAGTCCATCTTACCACCCAGCTCCTCAATATTATATGTGCTACGTCGCCTTTGTCTTTTCCAGATTTGTTTGTAATAAACAAAACAACATCATATTTTATTCATGTCATAATTTATTTAAAAACTAGAACTCCTGAAACTAGCTTAATTGCTTACATGTTTAATGTTTGGGCAATGGTAAAGATCAAAGATACATTGAGATTTTATTGTCCTTTTAAGTATTTTAGTACTTTTCATTATAAATATCTTGTACAGTACTGGATTCTTTAGTTTAAGGATTAAGTTTTAGTGCTGGAAACTACAATTGGAATTAATCCATGAAAACTTGCAGCTGACTTCTGTTCATCTGAAAAATATCACTTGATATGGAACTAAATGAAAAATCATTGTCTTAATACCAATTTTTTTTGTGTGGAATTAGTGTGCATAATTAGCAACTGACCATTCATGACAAAAAGGGACTGTTCTAAAGTGTTTGTGAGTGAAAGGAGTCTAAAACAGGTACAGTTTTCTGTTTTACAAAATAGGTACTGTTTCTAATAAGCAGTATTGGAAACAGTTTTGAGAAAATATTTTGCAGTTTATGGAATACTTGATTTCAAAATTGTACCACTTTCAGTGATCCATACATTTGCAGAAATTTCAAATGACATCCAGCTTTTTAAAAAAAAACAATTTAGCCAATGAAGTTGAAAACATTTTTTTTAAATCCCCAAACTAATTATAACTCTTATCTGCCTTGTAATTTTGCATGTAGTAGAAAATTGTGCAGATTCTCAAGAGTAAACATATCACGTTTGCATAATTAAATAGCTGAGTTTTTTTTAAAATGTTTGGACACAAAATTTAGTCCTGTGTAGAATGAGTGGACAAATAGACCTTTTTTAACCAAAGGCGTTATTCCAATGGTCTACTTTTTTTTAAAAATG